GAGCTGAAGGGAACGAGGAATGATACAATCAGTACAGAATTATTAGCTCAAAAAGTATCAGTAACAGGCAGTTCTTGAAGGACAGTCACGGCTACCTTCTATATGGTTTCCCCTAAACATGGCATGAGTATTACTTGGAGGAATAACACGTGTAAATCATGAAATACCTGCATCTATGCTAGTGGTGCCTCCCTGACATAGATCCAAGTACCCACTTCACACAAGACTCTCAATGGCAGCATGCCCAAAACTGACCTCTAAGTCCCCAGAAAGTCCTGCCCCAAAGGACAGTTCTACCAATACTGGCATCAACTGCTGTTCACAGACATGCATCCATTGCTTACTACTGCACCCTTGTATGTAACACCCCGTGTGGCATGTAGCTGGTAGTTTTATGCATACATGCCACATTATGGAAGTTGCCATTCTATCGGACCCCCAACTACTTGAAAATGCAATGGGATTAGTTTATCCCAAACCCTAGCAAATCTTTAATGCCTCTAAGCCCAGGCTCTTCGCACTATCCCAAAGCTACTGCTATTTGCTCAAACAGTTGGAATGCCTTTGAAAAGTCCTGCCATTACTGTGCATCAACATGAAGTTAAATGAATGAATTGATTACAATTTTCTCTGCTCTACCAAATCCTGTGCCTCATACTGTGCCTCATGAATGCACGCCACTGTTGGAAAATGAGCGCTAACTGTGTATTCAGGGCAGTTAATGGCAAATTTGAGCAAAGTGTTGCTATCTTGATGGGAAAGATTTCTCTGAGCTCTACTAAGCATTTCTGAAAGCAAATTGTGTCAGCAGACTGAAATTATATGCAAAATTATCGACACTATTCACATATGATAGGCAGCCACATGTAAAGAGGAAAAGTTTTAAAAACGCAGAAGAGGAAGCTGGGTATTGGCTTCTGCCTAACTAACAGGCTCCACTCCAAAGCTCTGCTCAAGGATGAGGTGTGAAATGCAAACAACTGTGGATAGGGAGAGGCTTCAGGTAGCAGGGTCCCAGCTGACTGTACACAACCATTCCTGTGTTCTGCACACAGCCATTGCTGTGTTCTGTTTACTACTTTGTTGTTGTTGCTGTTGTTGTTGTTTTTCAAGCCAGGGTTTCTCTGTATAGCTTTGGTGCCGGTCCTGAAACTCACTCTAGATCCACCTGCCTCTGCCTCCCAAGTGCTGGGGTTTAAGTCGTGGCTTGCTTACTACTACTTTCAAAACTTCCTGGGTGCTTAATGGATAAAGGAAATTCATGAACTCGGTATGTTGTTTGTTTTCTGCACGGCATGAGCAGGGTGGTGCATATTGAATAGACTATTCTATGTTAGTTTTTCACATTCTAGAAAATATTAATTATAGACATCAGTAGTTGGCTAATCCAGTCTATTGGACATACACTCCCTAGTTTTTCAGTCACAACACTTAAGGGCAAACAATGTAAATCCTAGGTTGCTTGTTCTCTGACTTGATCTCTTAGCTAAACTTTTGATGTTCTCATTGGATCCTGAAAACAAGTGACGCATCTACACATGAAGTGGATAATTTCAATTCTAAAAGACACAGATACCATGACCATCTGAGTAACTCATTCTTTTAGGAAATAATTTCTTGAGGTATAATATTTCCTTGTATGAGGATAGCTAAGACTTAACTGACCACCTGTCACGTGCTTGATACTTGCTCAGATCAAGACTTTCCAACCTAAGTACAACCTTTTTTTTTATTGAAAATAATTTTTTTTTCACAGAATATATTCTGGTTATGGTTTCTCCTCCCTCAACTCTTTTAGTTCCTATCTGATCCACACTCTTTCTTGCTCTCACTATCAAACATCAAACATAGATCTAAGAAAGAAAAGAAAGGAAGGGAAGAAGAAAGAGAAAGAGAGAAAATATAAATAAAATAAAAACATATCAATAGAAATACAAAAATCAAACACAAAGAAAAAGTGCAAGAAACATACTGACAGAGACACATTTGCCCCACAAGACATAAAGTTGGAAACTCTACCATATAAACAAGACATGTAAAGCAGTGGGGGCTGGAGAGACCAAAGCATTATGAGACAAACAACAACAAAAACCACCCCAAGATCAAAAAACCAACCCTTCCAAAATACCATTGAGTTTGTTTCTGTTTTGTGTTTGCCATTTAACTGTTGAGCTTGGGGCCTGCCCTTACGTGTGGTTTATACCCAGTGAGGCTCCCTTGAAGAAAAATAAGTTTTCCTTTGCGAGTGGTTATCATTTGGAGATAGTTTCTGGATTCTGGGGCCCCATCTGTCTTAGGGTTGTGTAGGCTTGTTTACACTGCCACAGTCTCTGTGAGTTCATATGTATCGGTTTTGTTGTGTAGAGAAGACCTTGTTTCCTTGGTGTCTTCCATCTCCACTGGCTCTTACAATCTTTCCACCTCTTTTAGATAGTCCCCTGAGCCCTGACGGGAGGGATCTGATGGAGACATCAACTTAGGCCTGAGTGTTCCAACGTCTCTCACTCTCTGCTTTGTCCAGTTGTGGGTCTCTGTATTTATTCTTATCTACTGCAGGCAGAAGCTTCTCTAATGGGTGAACAACCCACTGATCTGAGTATAGCAGAATGTCTTTAGAAGTCATTCTATTTTATTGTTATGTTCCTTTAGCAGAACAACAGCATTGATCCCCCAAGGTCCATAGCCTTTGTAGTCTCACGTTCTTGACCATACAAGCAGTGTCAGGCACAGGCTCCATCTCATGGAATTGATCTTAAATCCAATCAGATAATGGTTGGTTACTCCCATAAGCTCCATGCCACTAGAACACCAGTGTATCTCGCAGGTAACTCAGCATTGCAGACTGAAGGATTTGTAGCTGCGACTGTGTACATTTCTCCTCTGGTAGCTAGCAGAATACCTCCCAAGACCATGAACACTAGTAGGAGTGGAGGCTCTAGACAACAGCTCAACTTCTGTTTAACAATTGATGTAAATGTTAATTTCAGGAGTAGGGCGTTACCTACTGAAGGGCCTACCTATTGGTGAAGGGCCTTGGCAATAGCCTAGGCTGTTTAGGATTTCCATGGAATCTCTTTGGTTGGTAACTCAATTAGATGTAACCCTTCCTGGTTTCACGTGGTCAGGCTGAGGCTTTGTCTCTCTCATTATTTGGTGACAATTCTGCTATAGAAAGTGTGTCTTACTACATTTAGCAATATCTCTAGCCTCGCTGCTTCCTACACATGATCCACCTAGACCAACTGAAATGGCTCCAGAAATGCTAAATGTTTCCTGGCAGGTAAATTTGACTCCACTGGACATAGCCGCTTTAGTTACATCTAGTTATTTAATCATGGAAACCAACTCTGTGAGGTAAACAATATTCTCCAATCATTATCAGTCAGCTTCGTATAACTGTAACAAAACACCTGAAATGGCCCATCAAAAAGAAAACAAAAATTGTCATGGCACACAGTTTGAGAGTTTGGGCTCAGAGTTCAAGTCAGGTGGACAAACTGCTTTGGGATTTGTGGTTGAGGAGTAGACAAAGGAAGGGAATGTGTGGTGAAGGAAGCTACTTACTCATAACCAGGGCCCCAAAACAGAGAAGGGGTTAGAATCTCAGTATCACCTTCAAGATCACACATTCAGTGACCTAACTTCCTCCTACTATGCTGAAGGTTAACAGTGCTTCCGCCTGGAGACTAAGCTTCTAAGGCATGCTGTGACAAAATGAAAAGACAAGAGGAACAAAGGGGTTGGATAACCTGACTAGGGCCACAAAGCCAGTGATAGAGTTGGTGTGACCCAAGGAAGCCAGACTTCATGAGTTCAGGGCAAATCTTAACTGCTTTATCACTATAGAGACTTGATCCTTTCATGACTTTCAGGCTTAATGCAGTGGGGAAACCTGAAAACCCCCAGTTTGTTAACTTCCCTCACATACCGTCCACAATACGTTTGGACTGAGGCAGAGTAGACAGTATAGGTGGCCTCCTCTCTTAACAGGAGTATCCGACTTACCGGCTAGCATGATTCTTCTCCCTGTTAGATTTCTTCCTCTAATTGGAGAAATATACATATCTTCCAAAGGGAAGACTTCACTTGTAGATGACCCTTGTTAAAATGCTAATATGTGTACTAAGCTCTATTAGTCTTCATTTAAATAAAGTGATCACATTTATTGTGTCATTTAGCAAAGCTATTAGAAAGTAAATTACAAAATAGCAGACTTCTGAAGGCCCAGTCAGGGCAGGGGAATGTAATTAGGGTTCTGCCGAAGAAAGGCTACCTCTAGGACTGGCAACGTGGTGTCAGATGACCTGGAGATGTGCTCTGTAGGAGACAGGTAACCAGCTGCTGTGAGGAACAATGGTGTCTCCCACCAGAAACTCCGCCCCTTCCTCTTCCCATTTTCAACATCTTTCAGCCACTTGCTCTCCTTTCTGGTCTCTCAGCTTCCACCTCACACTTCAGTTTGATCAGGACAGGTCACTTAGCAGAACGGGAGTGGCCAAAACCATCTATCCCTGGAGGCATTGCTCGGAATGGTTACCTACAAGACTATCTATTCTCCATAGATCTCTACATCTGGAAACCCGAGTGTGAGTCTGTCCTGTAGTCAGCTCTTCCCTGGTCCTGGAAGACGGATGATGCAGACACACTCAGTAGCCGTGGGTGGTGCCCTTTGACTCCAAAGTTCCCATCTTGCACAGGAAGGCAAAAAACAACTTCACTCCTCCTCTCTCTACTCTTTCCCTCAAGAGCGAGAGGAAAACAACTGGTTGTCTCTAAACAAGAGATTGCAAGAAAATCGTTACAGGAAAAGCTTCCTACCTAGGAGTGCCGACTGTGAGAATTTTTCTTCAAAAAAATGGAATGGAGTAAAATGCCACCAAAATTTAAGCTAGATATAATCAAGCACTTTAAAGCCGTTCAGTTTTCAAGTATTCAACAGTAACAGAAAACTACTTTAAAAAATATGAACAGATAAGGTACTCAGAACCAAAGCACAGGACTCATGTAAGAGGAAAGATTTTATTGTGGAGGTCTCAAAAGCCAACAACTTAAAGAAAAGGGAAAGGAAAGAAAGGAAGGAGGGAGGGAGGGAGGGAGGGAGGGAGGGAGGGAGGGAGGGAGGGAGGGAGGGAGAAAAGGAAGGAGGGAAGGAAAACAATAAAGCCAGTTCGGGTGGTTAGCTGAGAGTGAGCAGATAAGCTTTTCTTACACAAGCACTGTCAGGTTAGCAGCAAGCAGACTTAGACATAAAGCTGGTGTGTGTATATCTGAACAAGCTGCCTTGTGTTTGAGAAAATCAGGGTAAAAAGATATGCATAGAGAGCTTAGATTTTTAAAAAATAACATATATTTTGCAAGTATGATCTTTGAAAATCGTGGCCTTAGGAAATCTGCGTTGGCAGGAGACTGCAGAGGCTCCCGTGGAGAGGAAGTGAAAAGGTGGCCATACAAACAAGGACTGCTGGCACATTCAGAGCACAGGGGATACTTCACAGAGCAAAACACAGACCTAAGTAAATGGGCTTCAGGCAATTTCAGTGTTAAGATAACATCATTAAGAGCAGAACAGATTGTGCTCAGACCCTGCTGTTTATAATTAACACGTTGCTTCCAAATACTCCTGGGCCCCTGGTAAAGAGTCTTCTGCTCACATCTCCCCAGACCAATCAGAGTATTTCCATCAGAGTCCATGCTGGGCCAGCACCTGTTTGGACAAATCCAATAGAGCCAAAGAACTCCTTCCCCTGGCCAGCAAAGTAGTTGGATGAACACAGCTTGGCTTAGTCATTGTCACAGTGTCCATATGGCTTTGAGGTTTGTTTTCACAAGAAATCATACAAGTATTTTATTATGTCAAAGTTCACGGTCCTAGAAACAAAAACAGACAGTGCGTTAGCATCCTCGCCCTCCGCTGCTCGGCTCTGAACGACTGCAGAGCACGTGGGACGTAATTTACAACTGGACGATGCTGTCGGCTGTGCCAGGATAGGGGTGGCACGGGTTTAAAACACAACCAGAAACATAACTTTCAAACCACTTTTGACCACACAGAAAGTTACTTTGCTTTTCAAAAACAAAAACAAAGTTAGGCTACTCAACATCTTGTATTTGAACTATATTGCAGAAAGTTTGGATTTTATTTAAAAGTCATTTGCTTTCTGCCTAATAACCGGAATAAAGTAATTAGAGATGCAAAAGTATTTAAATCTTGTTTGCCTCAGAACATTGTTTGTCTTCCCAAACACCTGTTTCATCATCACATAAAGCACAGCTCATCTGTCCCCATTTCTGGCTTTCATTATCTTCAGCCTTTAACAGCAGCTGACCTGTATGCGCATTCAACTCAATCTGTATGAGCCAAGAATATGATACAACAAACAACGTAGATGTATATTTTTATACTCTGACGGCAGGCAGAATAAAATAACAGAGGAAGAGACATATAATTATTTTTCTTTCTCCAAACTCATTCTTCACTATAAATATTCAGACTTGGAGGTTTATTATCTGACTAAGTGGTCAAAATAATTAGATATAATGATCTAGCAATAAGTATAAAATTAAAGCCTTAAATATTCAGCTCTGCAAAAATAATTATCCATGCGAGAACAGCCTTTTAGAATTACTAATTGCACATTCTTATTTATTAAACTAACACCAATTATTCTTTTTGTCTATCATTTTATAATACACTTTCTAAAAAAAGTTTCTACAGAAATGACTGACATACCAAATATTTTTTAAAAATATGGACAGGAAACTATAGATACTGCTTTTGGAAACACACTTAAAAATAGCTCAAACTGGGGAACGCTCTGGCTCCTGTGGACCCAACATCAGACTCAAGAATGTCTTTCATCACAACAGCGGCTCCCTGAGAAACACCAAAGCCTCCTAAGCAGCAGAAAGAGACCCTGTCAGCAGCAGCAGTGACGAGAATGCCACGGGTGATCACGTCAGGTAAGCTCTCCCAAGCAAAGACACGGCTCTGACATGGCAACACTGCTAGATTCTCAAGTCGTTCCTTCACTGACCTCTCAGATCTACTGGCCGTGAAGTCCTATAAAAATGACCTTAGGACGAAACAACAAGAACCCTTCAGCCAGTAAGCTGACTTACCAAGGGTCTTAAGAGAAACTAGATACAGTAGGCTACATTTTCTCACCACAAACTAGAGTTCTATTAGTACACCTTTCTCAAGACATTCCCTCTGATGGCCTCCAATATAAGATTATGAAGCAACAAAGTAAAATGGATTTAATGCCTTTTTTTTTGTATGTGAAAGCAAAAGTACGGAAGACATTAAGTTAAAAACAACTTGAATCCATTGGGAGGCCTTCTATATTCCAAAGCCTTACTCAATAGTAGTATAAAATGATCAATATGAAGATACATCTACACCCTAAAAATGCAGAAAGAGAATGCAGAATCCACTGGAAAATGTTTGTCTAATGGGCTAGGACTAGAAAAATTCATAAACAAATGAAAACAAATTAACTGGTTAATAGGATTCTTTTATATGTTTCAGTAATTATTTGTATGGCTATAGCAGTTTATACAATAAAATGTTAATAAATGGAATGGCTTTAAACACCCTAAGCAACTCACAAACATGCAATTACAGAATATTAACTGTATTTCATGTCAGTAAGCCAGCACCAGAAATCAAATCAGACTGTGTAATTTCTTTTCCTTGAAGACTGAGTGAGGGTTGGGTGACAGCCCAGTGTTTGTGCAGAGGACCCGAGTTAGAGCTCCAGCACCTATGCCTGCTGGCGCACGACCGCCTGCATTCCTGGTTTCAGGGAGATCCAGATTGAAATGTAGGATTCCCAAAGTCCAGAAGAGGGCACTGAAACAGCTGTGAGCTGCTAGCCACGTGAGTGCTGGGAACCAAAGCTAGGTCCTCTGCAAGAGCAGCAAATCTCTTAACCACTGAGCCACTGCCCTTGTAAGAACTCTACGCTTAAACACCAACTGAGTGACCAGGGAACTACTCTGTACAGCATTTGCCAACCAAGCTGTGCAAACGCTTCTATGGCTCATCCAGCCCTCCATAAACAGGTAACCTGTCAGCTGGCCCCATACACATTTTCTGAGGGAAGTCAGAACTCACCAGCACAGCCATGGAGGCAGTATTAATCACTGCAGGCCACCACAGGGACTGCTTACAGGGCAAACGACCCACTTTACAGGAAGCTTTGCTCTGTGGAACCTGTCCACCTGTACTCGCTTCTGGCCTTTCTTGAGCTTAGATACATACTAGACACATATAACTTTGACTCTAGATAACATTTAGTGAGTGCAGGAAGGTCTGATTCCCATGAAACACAAACTATTTTCTAAAGTAAGCAGTTAAAAAAACAGGAAACTACAATGTGGATGACAATTTCTAGTAATTCTTTTCGTATGTATGTATATGTGGGATGTATGTGTGTATGTAGGCTTGCATGTTTACGAGTGCACATATGTTTGCATGTGTACACGGAGGCTTGAGGTGGACACTGTGTCTCCCTTGATCAGTTTCCACTTTACTTACTGAGGCAAAATCACTTGCTAAGTCTGGACCTTACCAATGCTAGCCAGCCTAGCTAGCCAGCTCTGCTCAGACATCCTGGGCCTGCCTCCCGAGTGCATCTGCCCGGCCTTAATCTGGGTTCTGGTGGTCTGAACTCTTGTCCTTAACCTTATATAGGAATGTTTTATTTACTGAGCCATCTCTCTCGCCTTCCTAGGGGTAATTCTTAAGTCAGAATTGAGAACAGAATCAAACCATATAACATTTAATTATAAGAATTTAGTTTTATCTGTATCTTTTTATTTCACTTTATCAATTCTTTTTTCACAGAAGACTTTTTACTCATGATTTCATACTTTGTGGGTAGTTCTGAATCAGCTTCTTTAGAAATATGTTTCTTAAAAAAAAAAAGAAAAACAACAACAACAACAAAAACCAAAAGGCAACTTTATTTTACAACCTTGAGGTATCTTGCGGTGTCTCCCACTATGGAAACTGGAAAGCCTATTTTCACCTCACTTAGTAAGGTCACTCCAGAGATGGCCCCCACAGGCTCCGTGCAGGTTGGTTCTCTTCATTTTCTACTCCACGTTCTAATTCCTTTTGGAAGCAGTTGGCTTTTCTAAGCAAAGCTTTCTACTGTTCTGGTCCTCTGTCTTCGATGAATTCCCTTTCTCTCATTCTGGGCATTGACTAAAGCATGGCGCTCAATGAATGGCAGTTTTCTTTTCAGTCTTTGCTAATGAAGGTCCATCTCTCTACTGTATGCCAGGCGGTTCAGTCAAGTGAAGTTAGTGTCCTTATGTGAAAACCCTGCCCTTGGGACCCAGACAATCCCAGACAGCAGCCTTCTCTCTACTTCGTTACCATCCTTTAGCCACTGAATAAATTTAGGACCTAGTTTCCTTTGCTTTGCACCCTGTGACCTAATAAATTGTCTGCATATTGGTCTTTTCATCTCTACTAAATATACTCAGAGATATTTTATCTCTCAGAACATACCCTCTGAGATATTATTCGTTCCATTTCAGGTATCTGGGACACTAGGGATAATTAGGCTACAAACCCCTTCATTTTATTTTGACCTACAAATATTGAGTATTTATTGCTAGATATAAACTCTTGGTTCCTGGCTGGTCTGCCTTCCTTACTGTCCAGCTCAGACTCCATGGTTCATCACAAGCTCATGTGTTAGCATCTACTGAACTCATCTGGCAAGACCCCAATGTTATGTGATTTCAATTACTATTCTTCCCAGCCCTGGTAGTCTAGCATATGGAATACTGCTGGAAAAGATCGCAGGGCTCACAAACTGATGCCACTGTAAACTCAAGGTCAAGAATCTCAAGTCCTCTCAGCATGCTGCTTTTCCCAGGGGGCACCGGCTGCCATGTGCAGGCCGTGGATTCCAACACCACACACTTTTCCCAAGCTGCTTCTAGCTCTGCTTTCAGTCACAATTCCTGCCTCCCCTTCATGGAGAAAGCAGAAGAATCAGGTGAGAATCCCTCAACTTTCTGCTGCCAAAGAGCAGCCGAGCCCATGGTGCTCTGCTCTGAGGCCAGAGCACACTGCTGCCCCATCGGCTCTGAGGCCAGAGCACACTGCTGCCCCATCATGGGCTCTTTCATCTGCCTTCGGCATCCCGTCCTTACACAGTACTGAGAAGATTTTTGTGTTTCAAATTATTCTGTTTTGTGTCATTAACTTTCCTCTGCTTTCCCTCAGCATTTAAATATATTTCTATCTTCAAAACCACACTGACGACATAAACACACATGCGGCGGCTTCACCATGCTTGTTTCTGCATCTCTAAAGAGCCTAGACAATGTCTGCTGACAGTGGGATCACGAATGTTAAGTGCATAAAGAGCAGAAGCTAAACCTGTGCTTGCGGCATCCACCTCTCTCTCTCACTTTCCTTCTTTCTGCATGTTTTATTTCCCATGTAGCAACATCACAACATCATGGTTTAACTTTATGTATACATAAGCAAACATCTAAATGCACACACACACACACACACACACACACACGGTGAGGGGACTAAGATAAAGGAGAAAGACATCTAATGTGGGAGAAAGAAGGAAGAACAAGAAAGAGATGACAACTGAATGCATGTGAGTGTATATGACTCAAAGGCAAAGGCAACGTGGGAGGAGTGGGGGGGTGAGGGACTAGCAAATCAGGGGAATGGGGAGGGAGTAGAAGGGAGTGGCGAGGGAGTTGGGGATAAGAACACGTATAATAACATATATTAAGGTATGTATATGAAAATATCAAAATGAAACCCATTACTTTGTTAATAAAATGCTAGTGATTTTTCAAATAAAAATAATTATAGCAGAAAATAGTTGATTCACTATAATCTATATTATAAAGGCTGTAAACAGAGGCAAATTCTATGCAAAAAGAGCAGAAGGGATTAAATAATATGAGAAATTAAATTAATAAGACTATAGAATTATATATATGTATGTGCGTATATACACCAGTCTTTGGGTATGTCTTGAAACAAAATGAAAAAAAGGCTGGGATGCTCTTGTGGCTTCATTTTTATTGATTAATACACCTGTTTATTTGTCTACACATCCATCCCTTTTTTTCCTGGTGGAAATGGTTTCTTTTCTTTCTTTTTTTTTAAAACTTTTTTTTTTTTACTGGTTTTACTGAGCTATACATTTTTCTCTGCTCCCCTCCCAACCTCTCCCATGGTCCCCATGCTCCCAATTTATTCAGGAGATCTTATCTTTTTCTACTTTCCATGTAGGTTAGATCCATGGATGTCTCTCTTAGGGTCCTCATTGTTGTCTAGGTTCTCTGGGATTGTGAATTGTAGGCTGGTTTTCTTTGCTTTATGTCTACGCCACTTATGAGTGAGTACATGTGATATTTGTCTTTCTGGGTCCGAGTTACCTCACTCAATATATTTTCGAGATCCATCCATTTGCCTGCAAATCTCAAGATGCCATTATTTTGAGCAACAGTACTACTGCTGTGTAGTACTCCATTGTGTAAATGTACCACATTTTCCTTATCCATTTTTGGGTCGAGGGGCATTCAGGTTGTTCCCAGGCTTTGGCTATGACAAGCAAAGCTGCTATGAAGCGGCGTCTTTATTATCAACACTATCAAGATGGACTGGGGTGACTTCCACCCACCGCACAGCTGCAAGTGTCAACTATGATCCTCGTGTGCTCTGACTGCTCCCTCCCTTCCTTAGTTTTACAGCCATGTGAAGGTTCCTCACGTGTAACTCTACAGAACGACCTCATTCACTCTACCACGTAGGGTCCCCATTGTTGTCTAGGTTCTCTGGGATTGTTCTACCACGATCTCTTCCTCACATTTTTTCCTTCGAAAATAAAATGCTTAATAACTGCACAGTAATTTTCCTAAGAAAATAAATTACTGACCAATTTAATAATTTGTTATTTTGCTGATTGGCTGTCATTATTTTGCTCAACGGACACAAACTAGACTGATCTGGGAAAAGGAAAACTCAACTGACAAAAGTTTCCATCAGATTGGTCCATAGGTAAGTATGTAGGGCCATTTTTTTTGACTAATGATTAATTGATCCTGGGTGGTATAAAAAGCAATAAATGACTCATGGAAGGCAGAAACACCCTTCCTCCATCTCTGCATGAGTTCCTGCCTCCAGGTTCCTGCCTGTTTGAGTTCCTGACTTGGTTTCCTTCAGTGATGAACTGTGCTCGGAAGTGTGAGCCAAACAAACCCTTTCCTCCCCAACCTGCTTTGTGGTCATGGTGTCCGTCGCAGCAACAGAAACTCAACTAAGACAGCAGAGAGGAGACAAATGATAAGATCATCTTCAAATTCCAGACCTCTGCAACATGGCTGACTACAGGACCAGTGCTGAAACAGGAAACACTGGAAGGAAAGCCGAATCCTTCTTTTCTTATTTGTGTGTGGAAACAAGTTAGAATTTCTGAGTTCAGTCTCGAGTTAGGCTGTTTATGTCCAATAAAGGTCAGAACGTGACAAACAAATGGCCCTAAAGAATGGGGAGTTATTGATGGTGGCTGAAGCAGTGCAGCTAGAACTGCCTGGGAAGGAAGGGTGTGATGAGGAAAGCTGCCAGGATCAGGCCTCAAGGAACAGCTCCATTTAAAGGTCAAAGGAGCCTCAGCAAAGGTAGCGGAGAACAGAGACACCAGCACCACAGGATCCAGGTACCCAGGAGAAGAGAGCTTTAAGAATTGTCGGTGGTGCCAAGTGCCGCTGAGAAACAAGCAGCCTGGGGGGAATGGAGCACAGAAGAGGGAACGCAGACATTCGGATGTGTGGTGTAAATAAAATCAAGACTCTAGTAGGCAGAAGAGAGGGGTATAGGTTGCAGGCTTTACTCCTCAACAGCTAAACTGTCATGGCTGGGAGCTGGAAGAGGGTAATCATTCCTGGGGAGAATAAAGAGGCAGACGTAAATAACCAGTTTCAAAGCTGGGGGCAGTGCAGTATGAAAGTGGTATCACGGAGGTTGCTGAAATGATCTTGTCAAACAAAACAGTCTTGAAGGACTTGGTCTGGAGAGACAAAATTGCTGCCACTACACAGCTGCAGGGGCAGTGGTTATATACCCAGAGGCAGGTTTTAGTTAAGGTGACCTGGGATGTCCTTCTGTACATATGTTACTTTTATTGGCTAATGAATAAAGCTGTTTTGGTCAAAGGCTTAGCAGAGTAAAGCCAGATGGAAAATCCAAAGAGAGATACATAAAGAGAATAGGTTGCTGCGGGAGCTCCTTCTGCTCCTTCAGTCAATAGCCGCTGAGATACCAGCCCACTGGGGCATGGTCTCTCTCTCTTAAAAAAGGGGCTGCAGAGGGCTGCTGCTCTCTTGCTTCTGGCTCCGCTTTAGGCTGCCGGTGACAGCGGGAACACAGCCCACCGCTCCTCCTTACAACAGAGTGACACCCAACGTGGTCTACTAACTCCACGTAAAACCTGAGAGGGCTTAAAAAGGAGAGAGTTTAACACAGCTTTTAGGCAGAGTCAGAGAGACGCCATGTAGCTGCTGAAGGAGAAAGACACCACCAGAATCTTTCTGGTAAGCCACAGCCTCATGGCAATACACTGATTAATAGACATGGGTTAATTTAAGACGTAAGAGTTGGTTAATAAGAAGCCTGTACCATTGGCCAAAGTGTTGAATTAATATAGTTTCGGTGCAATTATTTAGGTCTGAGGAGCCAGGATACGAATGTGCAGTCTCCATTTACATTAAGGAAGTAAGGAAGAGAACTGGAAGACAGGTGCCTTACACGAATGGAGAGAGAAACAGGTCAAGTCAGCATAAAAGAAGTAAAAATGTGACCCAAGAATAAAGACCACAGATGTGGGAAGAGGATGTGCTTACAGTTTAAAGGTCACCTTTCATACATATGAGCTTTCATACCCAGTGATCTCTTAAATCCCACCTTCCAAAGTATTTCAATAATTTCACTTCTGGCCATCTAACTTCCTACTGACTACTTCTAAGTCTACATCACTGGTAACCTCACTAGAGGATGTTATGGTGGAGCTTATTCGTTCTTGGCACTTAAATGATCTTTTCTTTTAAATGACTTTTTATTATATTAGAAAGGGCATTCTTATTTAGCATATCATCTGCATAATGGTGACATTTTGCATTAATAAATACTCTAAACTTACCGCGCAATGGCTCTGATGAAATCTAGAGAAACTGTGCATTTGTATTTTGGTCCATCAAGTTGATCGTCATGACCAACCAGGGTCAACAGCTGCAGAGTCACCAGGGAAGTAATCTAAAATTGAAAGGACATTTTTATGAGAAATTTAATGCCATTAAATGATACCTTTATTTACAATGCTAGTAATACAGACATAAATGAATCCACAAAGAATACAAGTAATTTAAAATTTGTATACCCAAATTTGTACACATGTTTAAAAACCTAGTTACAATGAAGAGTACTCACTAAGAGCCTAGTTTGTTAAGAGATGATTCAAAATATTTATAGTATTTTCTCATGCAAACATCATTTGTGTGTGGGCAGATTTGCGTGTGTATGTGTGTATATACACAGGCCAAGGATAAATTCAAGAGCTTTTTGTTCTGTTTTGTTTTTAAGACAGGGTCTCTCCTCTTAGACCCAAGGCTCATCAGTTTGGCTAGGTTGGTAGACTAATGAGCTCCACGGTTCCACCTGTTTCTGTCTCCTAGGCTCTGAGATCACAAATGTATGTCACCGAGCTCTGCTTTCTATGTGTGTGACGATGATCAAATCCAGGTCTTCATGCTAGCGATAGCTGCAAACGGCAGACGTTTCTACACGGGGAAGCGTATCTGACTGCTCCAGCATACATGCATAGATGTGCGGAAAACAGACTTCCCATCCTGCTCTTCAGAAGTCAATGGCAAATCTGACACCCAAGAAGGAGATACACAAGAGAGCCATTCCTATCCTTACACTCCTGGATGCAGAAAATGATTTATAGCAAGAAAAGTAAAAGAGGAAAGGGTGTAGACTATAAATTAACATCTTAGAAGGATTTAATCTAGTGGAAGAAAAGCTCCAACAACAACAACAACAACACATACTCGACTTGAACACTGCCCGCTATTTTTGCCACAGTATGGTTTATGGAAGGCTTGTCATTCAGTTGAGTTTCGGACTGCCCTGGACATATTTCAGAATCAAATACTAACAAAGTCTTACAGGTTTGGAAAATAACCACAGGAGAAGAAACTTCCAGTTTCAACTAAATGGCAGATTCAGATGCACTGCTTCTCTGAACTGAGCACAACGAACCTCCTGAAGATAATGTGAGGTCAACCAAGGAGGCTGGGAAAGGGAAAGGACCGTGGACCATGCAAGGACACCAGGCTCAAGGAGCAACACAGAGAGACAAAGTTGGGAATTCTTTGTCTCAACAGTAGAAAGGACGTCAGGTCTAGAACAGCTGGTGTGCAAGCCAGGAACAAGATTCATGGCCAGACTTAATCTCCCCATGGATGGAAGACAACTGTGAGAAATAAACTGATAAGTCTGTGTCTGGCAAAGCTATCATTTGCAAATGAAGTGGAAATAGACATTCTTAAACAAGAGAGAATTAGAGAATCTTCCACTGGGAGACCTACCTTTAAAGAAAGCCAAGGGACAGTCTTTATACAAAAGTCTAAAACAAGCACTGAGCATCAGAAAGAAAAAACAACAGAGCGGATGGGCCGGAAAATGCAGCACGTCCTCGTGAGTCTAATATTGGTTAAAATTGTGTAGTTGGAACTTTCTTTGGGCTGCCAACCAGCTCCCAAATAATGACATAGAAACTTATTATTAATTATAAATGCTTGATCTTAGCTTAGGCTTGTCCCACTAACTTTTAACTTAATTTAACCTGTTTCTACTCATACACATTTTGCCTCAAGGCTCTTTAAAAATCTTTCATTCCACCATGTCCTGTTTTCTTGCTTCCTCCATGTCTGGGTCGCTAGACCCTGGCCTTTTCCTCTCTCCCTCCATCTCTCTCTGTCTCTCTCAAGCCTAGATTCCTCCTACTTCTACTACTGCCCAGAAGTCTCACCTGCATCTCCTGCCTAGATATTGGCTGCTTAGAGCATTTTTTTAGATGAACCAGGTGCCTTAGGCAGGCAAAATGCAACACATCTTTACATAGTTAAACAAATACTCCATTCCACAACAGAATTTTAACAACATCATATGTTCAAGGCAACGCTATTTAATAAGTGTAAACATAAAGACCTACATAGAAGAGCAAGTGAACTGCTTCATATATAATGTAGGATCCCCCTCTGTATGCTGTGAACATCTTTTTATTACCATTTGTTAACAGAGAAGCTGCTTTGGCCTATGGCTCGGCAGACTACAGAAAGGGGGAAATCCAAGCAGAAATAGAAAAGGAAAGAAGGTGCAGTCAGAGAGACGCCATGGAACTGCCGAAGGACAAAGACACCAGACCCTTACCTGTAAGACATAGCCTCACGGCGATACACAGATGAATAGAAATGGGTTAATTTAAGAAGCATGCCTGAGCCATTGGACAAACAGTGCTGTAATTAATATAGTTTTTGTGTAATTATTTGGGTCTGGGTGGGTAGGAAACAAAAGGGCAGTCTCCATTTACGTAATGGTGCCCACTGTGGGGCAGCTGGCCGGGAAATGAAAGGACAGTCTCCATTTACAAATATAAAACCTGCACACCAAATTTTAGAGTAGCTTCATTTATAAGAGCCAAAACAACAACCTCCACCAACCACTTCCAAACTAAAACATTTGAATAACTTGTATGCCCAATAGGCTAATATTTAAACCATGGTCCTGGCACATCATAGAGTACTAAGCAATGAAAACAAAGGGCTGGGGAGACTGCTCAGTGGGGACACAAGCTTAACAAGCATAAGGGACCTGAGACCTAGTTAGTATTCTCCAGCACCCACAAAAAAAGCTGGCACTGCAATATGCACCTGCAATCCCATCTCTGGGGAATGTAAAGACAGGTGGACCCCAAGAGCTTGATGACCAGCCAGTCCAGTCAACTGGAGAGAGAGCTTGCCTCAAAGTAAGGTAGACTGACAGAGGAAGATGCCTAACATCAACTTCTGGCACGCACATCTGCATAGATATGCAAAAGCACACACACCTGCACACACGACTGCAACATGAAGGGAACCTCTGCTCCCAAAGAGTGGGGACGAAAAGGAAGACTTCACAGCTACCTGTGGAAAACCGGGGAGGTCGATCCTTAAGACGATGAACATGGTTTGTACCTTGATTGTGGTGATAAACTGCAAAGCTACAGAGGGAAAAATTTCTTTAACCAAAGATACAGAGATAGAGATGTACATAAAGATGAATGGAGATGGGGGTTGGAGGGGTAGATTAGTGGCAATGTGCCCAGGGTTTGATCCTTAGTACCAAAACAAAACAGACATATTTTAAAGAGCAAGACCCCTGCCCCTCAAACAACAGCAACAAACAAAAACAACCCAAATACACAGAAAATGATTATATATACAGTGAGGAAACTGGAATAATATCAGTAGACTTGCATCAATGCCAACTTCTTGATGGCAATACTTTTGATTTGTTTGTTTTTTTGAGACAAGGTTTCTCTCTGTAGCCCTAGCTTTCCTGGAACTCACTCTATTGATCAGGCTGGGCTCAAACTCAGAGATCGGCCTACCTCTGTCTTTCAAGTTCTAGGATTAAAGGCGTGCACCACCACCACCTGGCCCTTTATTGTTTTTTGTTTGTTTTGTTTTGGTGGATTGTGATACTTTTAGCTGGGTATTTTGTAAAATGTTCCTGGCAGGGGAAGCTAATGAAGGACACATGGGAACACAGGGTCTGGCTCAACTTTTACAACTGTAGGTGAATGCATAATTATCCAGAAAAGAAAAAGTTGAACAAAGTAAAGATAAATACTAATAAGGTGCTCAGAAACTCTAAAAACCCTTATCTTCATTTCAAAATTTTTAAATTATCTATGAAGCTACAAAAATCTTTTAAAATTACAACATCCTGTGTCCATATTTACCAGGATTCTTGGAACATTCAGATGAAATACGACCTTAAGTAGGAAGTCAACAGTTCCATGCTGTGAGCCCATACTGTCTGCACAAATTTGTCAGAGATCTGGAGCAGGCCAAACATTATTTCTTCATACTGTAGGAGGATTACAGCGCAACCCCACCCTGACTGGTTTCCCCTCAATTCTTACCTTTTATTTCTAGCCTTCAAAATGACAAAAATTTTATTTTTGTTTAGGAGCTATAATCACCACTTACACTCAAGTATATAATAAAAGAAAAATTTCTTGGGTAAAAATAATTGAAAAAGAAAATTCTGAGCACTAGAGAGATGGCTTGGAGGTTCAGAGTACTTGCTACTCTGACAGAGGATCCGGAGTTCAATTCCCAAGACCACACTGGGCGATGCGCAACCTGTGACTCTGGCTATAGGGACCATATTCTTTCTTCTAGTTTCTGTATGCACAGCAGTGTGCATTCACACAAAATAAGTCTTTCAAAAGAAAAATTTGAACTAGCTCACAGGACATGGAAATCTTAGACAGAACACCATAAAGGATGATGGGTATTCTCAGTCCCCAATCAGCCCCTCAAAGCTTACTAGTATTTAAGTTTCACAGTTACATAATGTGTCATCTTGGAGGTTTACTAGAAACTTTTTAGAGTTCTTACAACAAAATTTCAAATTGAGCATTTCATGTCAAGACCACTTTAAATATTACCAGTGTTTCGCCAAAACAATGTCTGGCCCTAGGTGCTGGGACTACTGAAGAATGGTTCGTGAGTCATCTAATGTTTGTTTTTAAGAGCCCTGTTATTACTAAGCTACATATTTTTCTCTGCTCCTCTCCCTTCTCCCCTCCCCTTCCACCCTCTCCCACGATCCCCATTTACTCAGGAGAGCTAGTTTTTTTCTACTTCTGGGGAAGTCCCTCTGAGTATGTGTTGCTTTTATTGGTTAATAGAGAAGCTGTTTTTGCCCAGTGGCTTAACAGAATATAGCCAGGCTGGAAGAGATAAATACAGAGAGTAGGCGGAGTCAGGGAGATGCCATGCGGCCACGAGGGACAGGTGTGATGGAGCCTTGCCGGTAAGCCACAGCCACGTGGTGATACACAGATTAATGGAGATGGGTTAGTTTAGGATCTAAGAGCTAGCCAGTCCAATTAGAAACTAGAGCTAATAGGCTAAGCAGTGATTTAATTAATATAGTTTCTGTGTGGTTACTTTGGTTCTGGGCAGCCAGGAACAAAC